AACATTTCCAAGTACCTAGTAGAATCCTTGGCATATTGTACATGCTCAATAAATGTGACCTCTTTACCAATGCTTTCAACTTCTACACTAGTGCCAACTTTCTGATTTGCACAGAGAGAAAACCCATCCAATTCAGAGTAAGAAAAGGGATCACGATGAGACAGAATGAGAAAAAAAGATTCTGAATATATCCCAGTCTAGACTTAAATATCTATTATTTCCTAAATCTCAGAGAAAGGGAAAGAATGCACTTACCTATGCCCATATGCCTGCCCTTCCTACGGGCCAAAGTGTTTTTCCGGCACCGAGCTCGGGAATGGACAGTCACAGGCTTCCGGATGATCAGCCCATCTTTGATCAACTTCCGAATCTGCTGACCTGGAAAAACACAATGCACTTGGTCAGTCAGCTGGGGCCTAGCCCCAAGGACACCAACCACAACCCAGAATCCAAATAGGACAGGCCAGAGGTATGGTTCACACCCTGGCCCAGTGACCTCAAAAACGGTTGATTCCAAAGTGTTTCTCATTAAATTTTTCCCCCTACCCTTTTAGATAGTTTATAGCGCGCGCGCTCTCTCTCTCTCTATACACACACACACACACACACACACACACACACACACACACACACACGCACACACACACATATATATACACACACACGTATTTGGGGATGTACCATCAAAATAGTGTACAGATACAGCTTAGTCCTTCAGATCCTATCTGTCTCACCTATTAGTTACTGATCTAAAACAAGATTAGGATTTTTTGAGCACATATTACAATGCTACAAACCCAAACAGGTTAAGAATTTCCCTGATATTTACAAAGAGTCTTTGCTTAACCAAACTTTCATCAGGCTCTTGAACATTCTCCTAGGCCTATCCGTGCATTTCCTTGTAAATTCTAGTTTTAGTAAGAACCCTGCTCAATCTCTCTCCCCCTTGTAAAATCCCATTGCAGTGGTCCTGAATAAAGTCTGTCTTACCACCTTTAACAAATGTCATTGAATACTTTCTTCCTGCAGTAGTATTACATGGAAGTAATGTGAGTATGCCGATGTTATCTGCAGGACTGACATCTGTTTAACTGCCTTGAATATGCCAACAGGCTCTACTGAAGTCTAAGGCCAGGTCTTCCCACATCATTTCCTTGGCCACCTCTACTCCCCAGTCCCGGTCTCTTCATATCCTTCACATAGCTATAAAACAGAGTATCCATTCTAGCAATAATCATTAATATAACACTGGGTGGTTCCATTAACTTCTATCCTGTCATTCTGAAAAATGGCAGAAGAGAACCTCTGGCACCCCATTATTTCCGAGACTTCTCCATTTTATAAGACCTCCAAACTATGAGCTTTCCTAGGTTTGTTAGAGTCAACACAATTGTGTTACCTTTCATCTCATGAAGAATAAGGAAAGAGTAGGGTGAAGAATGGATATAAGCCCCAAAGACTCACGGGAGTTGGCATTGGCGATTTCATTGGTCTCATTGGGGTCCAACCAGACCTTCTTTTTGCCACAGCGGAGGACACTAGAGGCAAGCCTCTTCTGAAGCCTGAGCATACTGTCACAAACAGAAAACACTATCAGGACCTGGAAACCATTCCTGGTTAAGAATGAGCATCCCCAGCAAGACCTTCCCTCTCAAGTCTTCTAATGTTATTTAACGTAACACATGGGAAAGTGGATACGTATATGCACTTAGTGTTAAGGGCAAACACATTCCCCTCCACTAAGACGTTTGCCACCCACTGTACCACCCACCCCAGATTAATAATGTTTCCTATTATCAAGATCTCCTCTGGAAAATGAGGACAACGGATAAAATCAGGATTGGGGGGGGAGGGGCTCTAGCCTCACTCTGGTGTTCAGCTCTAAAAACAAGTGTTCAGCGTGAAAAACCCGAGGCCAGTAGACCTGGTTTGCTAGTCTAGACTAGTCCTTTGCTTCCTGGGCTCGTTTTCTTCGTCTGATCATCATAATAAACTACGTTCAGCTAGCCTTAGACTTTGCTTATGAGCGGTCTACGGGGGTGCTAGGGATAACCTCACTCTGGGCAGTTCGAGGCCTGGGGCCTACGTCACATGGAAGCAGAGATCAGCTCGGATCCAGGTGCGCCCTGCGACTAAGAGGGCCACCGCCTAGTCCCCGCCGCTACCTTTCTTCTGCCCATGTGGGTTGCCCCCGACACACGTGCGGCGCTGGGCCAGTCCTTCCCGCGGCCTAGAGTTCTCGGGACGCTCCCCCTACTCCTATCCTCCAGAGGCCCGGGCCTAGTATGCTCCCGCCTACCCCAAGCTCCGGGACCGGCCGCTTTAAGGGCTGCCTCCAGCTCATCGCTCCCACCCGCGGCCATGGTACCGAGCCCTGCCGTCCCCCAGCAGCCCGGATCAACCCAGATCAGAGACTCGCGGGCCCTCACCTCATGGCGGCGACCGCAGCGACGAAAGGAAAGAACTCCCTCTGACCGGGCTCCTCCCATTATCTGTAAAGGGGAGAGCCCATCCTCGGCTGCGCTTTCGCCCGTATTCCCCTCTGGTCCTTTCATCTTCTGCCACCCTAAACTTACTTCTATCTTGTGTAAAGACCCGAGATAATAGAAGCCTAGTATCAGGAATCGCTTTTTAACTTAAAAACATAGCAAAATGTACCCTTTTGGTAAGGCAAAGTGGTACAGTCTGACTTCCTACTAGGCAAGCGCAGCAAGGGTGCCTAATCACGTGGGTAGTGGAAGCCGGAAGTCAGTTGGATTGCGCAGGCGGGATGAGGGGCTTTTGCTATAGTGGCCTACTCCTTGGCAGGTGTTCTGTATTCTCTGGAAGGATGTTTTATTAGCCGAAAAAAATTAGTGAATGAAGCGAGGGAATAATGACAGCAGATATCAGGCAAAAGCAACCTTTTATGCAAGCTCTCAGTAGATTGGGATCCCCCGGAGTGCAGAATCAGAATAGATCATCAAATGCATTACATACTTTGTTTTTGCACCACTGCGGTCCATAATCTCTTAGTGCCTCAATTTCCTCCTTTGTACCTAATCCTAATATTTCCGTCATCCAGTTGTGAAAATCACATGAATTAATGTTTGCTACTTGTAAAGGAAGGCATTAAGACAACAAGCTCCTTGATGGCGGGAACCAGTCTTTTGTTTGGCTCACACGGTGCTACAGCAGGTTTGGAGCTTTGCACATAGTAATCATTTGAGAAATAGTATATTGACTGAGTATAGTTGTGAAAGTTAAAAATTCGAGTGATAGGACAACCCACAGTTCTTTCTGCTTGGTCTGGAATACCCAATGCAAAAACCCAAGGAGAATATTCTGAGTTCTGGCTCTAAATCTTTGCTTGGTTGGCTCCAGCTAATCACCCCATCTCTATCATTTGAATTTTCCTGGCTGCTAAATATTGGGTTGTCGAAAAAGTTATGACGTATTTTTCCACGTTTTTCGTTGCAAAAATGCGTCATGACTTTTCTGACGACCATCTCAGAAGGTCAAAAAGAGAAAGGAGAGCAAAATTTATACCACTTGCTCACAACACAATTAGTGTCATCCTCATTTTACAGCTAAGTGAGGTAGCAGAAATGAAAAAATCCAGGTCTTACTGACTGCAAAACCCATGCCTTCTCTGTCATGCCAGGCTCTCTTGTGCGCAAAGGGCAGATGGGAACCCTGCTCAGGGTTGGATCTGTTCATGAACAATGCCAATAGTCTTTATCCGCACTTTCCCTTCAAAGTAATGTGATTAGACAAATGATTTAGGCTGACCATCCACTTGTTGCAGAGGGTGAGGAGGAGGATTCAGTGTATTCCAGTCTCTAGCAGAACACAGCAGGCTGGCCTTGTATTAGGGTCACTGAACCTGGGCAAATCTGCATTCTACTTCTCATCTCTCCCCTTTGAGAAGCAGGGGAAAGCGTAGAATAGGGAGGTAACTGGTCGTTGTGTCATGACTGACCCCTGCACAGCACCTTACATCACCAAAGGCCCCAGCAATCCATCATTTAATTTCATGCTCTCCTATCCTCCCAGTAATCCCAGGTGACAAAGACACTACATCCCACTTTACAGAAGAGGTGTAGTGATTTGTCCAGGGTCACCCACCAGAAAGAGCCTGAGCCAAATTGGCACCTGGGTCTCTTGCCAGAATCCCCTACTCCTTTTCTCTCCCCAGATCATGGTGGGTGGGGTCCATGCCCTGGATATTTGTCCCTATATCAAGGATGAAGGTGGAGCAATTCTAGGTCAAAGGTCACTTGATTTGATTTTAGGCAGTGTCTCCTCTCTCAGCTCCACATTTCTTCTTCCTCTTTCTTCTCTCTTCCAAGGTACACGGACCTCACCCAGCCCCATTCCTGGCCTTTGGAAAAGCCTTGGGGATACTAGCGACTAGGGTAGAAGGACTCCTGGATCTCTGGGATTTCTTGTTGCTCTCTCTGTTGGGACTCCCTTTGGACACCCTCCCCACACCAGCTTCAAACTCTGGCCCGCCAGCACCGCGTTGTAAGGGAAGAGGCCTTTCTGTTTGATTCTGGGAGGCCTGGGCCCACACAAGGGAGAAACGAGGTAAACCCGGGTCCCAGGATCACCAGGTCAGGGAAGTTCCGGTGGCCCAAGGTGGAGAGGAAGGGGGAGACCCACTAGAAAGAGCGGTTTGGGATTTAAGGGGGACGTGGTGCCAGCCATGCTAATCCGCGCTACACCTCCACTAGCGCTTGGCATCTCCTGGTAAACCGCTACGCCACCCCACCCCCAGCCCCAAGGCGAGTTTCCACGCCCCACCCTCCGTCCCCGCAGAGTGGGCTGCCTTCACCCCAGGCCAGTCGGAAGACAGCGCATGCTGGACTCCAGAGCCAGGAGGGGCGTGCCTCCCTCCCGCCGCCCTCCCATTGTCTGAGCCGATCCCGCGGAGGGGCTGCGAGGGGCGGGGCCGGGGCGGGCGGAGGGAGGGAGGGAGGAGGGGTTGGGGGAGCGGAGCGGGCGAAGGGAGATGCTGAGCCTTCAGGGGCGGAGGAGGCGGCGGCGGCAGCGGAGAGAGCGGGAGGAGGGAGGGAAGGCTGGAAGAGGGCAACCGCAGGCCGGGCCAAGTGGTTGGATCCGGTGCTGGCTGCTCTGCGCCGCTCTCGGTTCCGACGGCCTCTCTCGTGCTGAGGGCGCCCGGCTGGGCCGGGCCAGTGGCCGGAGGGGAGGCTCCTCTCCATGGTCCAGAAGACCAGCATGTCCCGGAGCCCTTACCCACCCTCCCAGGAGATTCCCATGGAGGTCTTCGACCCCAGCCCACAGGTGAGGCGTGGTGGCCGGGATGAGGGAAGGGGGCCGCTCCTGCGGACCTTGTGGGATCGGCTCGAGGGGCGCTGGGGAGGAAGGGGTTAGTGCCCGGCGCGGAGGGAGAGGGATGCCTGCGCGCCCTCCGTCCCTGCCGGTTAATGATTGATGGGCGCTTGGCCCAGAGTTGGGCTGCGGTTTTGCGGAGCTGGGAGGGGGGCGGTTGGGCCGCCTGTCATTCTCGCCTCCTCGTGTCCCCCGCGTTCAGGGTCCCTGCTGCTCGGGTACCGGCTCCATTGGGTTGAGAGTGGGGGTTTCCCGGGGTTGAGGGAGGCAGGAAAGCGAGCCCAAGCAAACGGGGCTACGCAGAGCACGCTCAGGGGCGCATGGCGGGGGTGGGTGGGGTGGGGGTGGCACTGGGAGATGGCCGAGGAGATAGTCCGAGGGCGGCGCCAGCAGGCCTTTAGAGCCGCAGACACTGGCCCTCGAGGGTGGGGAAGGGGCCAGCCTCCATTCCTGCCACCTCAGCCACACCCCTATATTGGGCCAGCTCCTCTCCCCCAACACCCTCGTTATCTCTCCCTCTCCACCCCCCAGCCCCAGAAAAAACGCCTCCAAAGTTTGGAAAGTTGGATGGATGCCAACTCACTGAGACGCTGAGTTACCTGGGGGAGGAGGTCTGCTGCCCCAACCCCACTAACACTTCTGTGCCCATGGGTTACCCCCAGAAAGGGGGCATTCTTGGGTGTGGTGGGTACCCATGTAGTGACCAGCAGGGTCTAGGGTGGTCGTGCCAGGGGCTTTCTCTGGGACATGTCCTTCTCTAATCTGTCAACACACCAAGGCTGGGATAGCATTAACTCTTTTCTTGCTGTGGCTAGCCTGGAGCAACTGTAACCTCGATAATGTGGTTCAAGGGTGTGTGTATATGGCGGGGGTCAGGTCAGTCCTAAAAATACCTCCTTTCTCCACCCTAGGCCCCTGGAGCCTGGGAGGCAGCTGACTGGGGCCTTCCTTTCAGCTGTCCCTTGTCCCTCTGGGTGCCACTCCCTTTTCCCAGTCTGGGGTGTGGTGTGAGAGAGAGTCTGGAGCTCACTGGGGGATCCTGTTCAGTTCATAGAGATCCTCAATCCTAGAGGTTGGGTATATGCCTGGTTTGAAGAGGGGGATGGGAGGGAGGATTCTGGCGATCCCAGGTGCCTTTCTCACTCATCTATCCATCCTCCTACCTGTACTGTACTCAGACCCAAGGAACCAGAGCTCCTAGGCTGGTTGTGGCTTATCTACCTTTTTTGGTAAAGAATCTCTAGGGTACAGGCCACAGGCAGGGGCTTGGAGGGCCCGAAACCTCAATCATCATCCTCTACTCTGGACTGGCCTCCGGCCAATGTGTGTATGTGAATTGGGAAGGGCAAAGAAGCAGCCCCCTTTATAGGAGGCCTGGAAATAACCTGAATGTGTGGCTGCTTGAGTGGTCAGGCAGTGTCCACTCCAGCCAAATGAGGAGCCTAGCCAGTGAGACTGAGACAGCCTACCCCAGGGACCTGTGGGGGTTATGGCAATGCCCTAGGCTCTTGGGGCAGGGCCAAGGGGCATTTAGATTGATGCAGCCTGGTAGGTACCATGGGAACAGGTTGTAGGCACTGGCAGCTGGGAGTCAGTGAATGCTTGATCCATCTTGCTCCCCTGGGTAGATGTGTGATCACTGTGATTGTGAGGAGGGGTCTGAGAAAAAGCCCTGCAAGGGTAGCCACCCCCCTCACTCCAGCTAAATCTGCCCCAGGGCAGTGGGCAGGGATTGGGGTTAGGTGTTTACTTTCCAAATACCTTTCCACGCCCCCCACTCCCTCCCTGGAAATCTAGTTTTGGGTCTCCCAAGAGCTAAGAGCTGCCTGCCACTCCCCTCCCCACTCTGCAAAGAAGGAAATCGTGAGTTGGGCATGAAAACAGCCAAACTGGGCCCCATTGGCAGTTGGCAATCCCTCTTCTCTCTGGGGGCCACAGGCACACTCCGCCCCCGTCTGCTTCAGCTGAGGGGGAGAGGGAGGGAAACCTTCCCCAGCCCTCTCTGCTCCACCCCCCAGCACTGCAGGCAGCCTCTCCCTTCCCCCGAGGCCACTGCAGCCTGCCCAGCATCTTAATTGGCTTTGCTGCCTAATGAGCCTCCAGCTATTCAGCGCCTCCCCTTCCCAGCCTCTCTGGCTTCGTTTGGGGGTTTCTGCTTCCTAGGGCTCTCTTTCTCTGTCCCCCACCCCATGGTTGTGGTCTGGGCCCTCCTTTCCCCGGGGGCTGTACCATCTCTGGAAGAAGATGGGGGGCGCTGTTCAGATCAGGGAATGTTACTCCCAAGGCTTGGCTGTTGCTGTGGCCCTGATGGGATGAGGGCTGGGAAAGGGACTTTCTGATTCCACTCTTTTCCCTTCCTGGCTTCTCCAGGGCAAATACAGCAAGAGGAAAGGGCGGTTCAAAAGGTCGGATGGGAGCACCTCCTCAGATACAACATCCAACAGCTTTGTCCGCCAGGTAATGTGGGGGCTGGGCTGAGAGGAGGGAGGTGGTTGGTAGAGCCCAGCATTGGTGAGCTGGGTCTGAGGCTTTCTCCAGGCGCCCAGCCCCATGTCATTTACCACCTGCCTGGAGCTACCCATCACCCTGACACCCCATGACCTCTCCTACATAGACTGCCAGCTGCACCCACTCCTTCAGCCCCCGCCCAGCCCCTCCCCAGCACCAGGCACCAGCCCCTGCTGCCTGCCTGCGTCATCTCATTCAGGGACAGCCTGGTCTGCCTCCTTCTAGCTTGCTTAGGGCTGTCACCCACTCCCCCTGCCGGCTGTCTGCTTCCTTGTCCTCCCCCAGAACCTGACAGTGAGGAGTAGAGGCAGGTCTGAAGAAATGAGGAGCCAGGACATTTGAGTCCCTGGAGCCCTGGTTAAGTATCAGTCAGGGAAATGCCCTCCTCACATCCAGATATGACTGTTCTTTAATATGCAGAGAGAAAGTGTGTTGAGGGAGGCAGGGTAGAGGCAGGAGGGAGTTGATTTTAGAGAGGACTTTAGCTCAGTAGCCCTGACTGAAGCAGGGTGTGTGTGTGTGTGTGTGTGTGTGTGTGTGTGTGTCACTGAATAGCTTTCTGGGGTCTTCTGTGCTCAGTAAGGAAGATGCCATTTTCATCTCTGTTCTGATTCTCAACCCCAGGCCATCTCGGGCTCAGGGAGAGGCAGTGAGAAAGGCATGTGGTTGCTATGACTACAGAGCATCTCAACAAAGCCTGGTACCCAAAAAAGGCGAGGAGGGCTTGGGATCAGACAAGGAAGAGTACGTTCAAGAGGAAACTGGCAGGGCATATGAGGGCAGAGAGCAGTAGGGAGGAGGAGCCTGGTGGAGGTCAAGCCCCCTTGGGCCAGAAGAGAGAGGGTGGTGCCAGGCAGATCCACCACAGATTGGAGTGAGGCCCTTCTTTTTTATTCCTCTGTCTCCAGAGCACTTGGCACATGTGAGCCCAGGCCTGCCTGACTTGGGTCAGAAAAGGGGCCCTTCATCCCGACACCTCCTAAGTACACAAATAGGAAGTCCTTTCTGCAATCACTCCTTCATCCCTCCTGTTGCAGGACTGGGCCAGGGCCGAGGCTAGGGCTAGGAAGAATGCCACTGCGCTCTTATATAAGTATAAGCCCTGTTGACAGAAAAAGGCCTTCTTTTCCTCAGTGTTTGGCAGCCCAGGATGTCAGACCCCAGCCTCCAATCCTTCCTTGTCTTAGCTCCCTATCTCTGACCACCCCCAGTAGGTGGCAGGGAGTGGGGGGGCAGTCCTTGCCACATCTCTGAGCTAAATATACCCTAGCAGTTTGCACATGTAGCAACTCTGCTTGAAACCTGAGCTCCTTTGGGGAACAGGCAGTTTGGGCCACCTCCTAGGCCAGCAGGGCCAGGCACTGAGGGCCCCGGGATGGAGGTGCCCAGCCGGACCCTCGTGGTGGTAAGCTGGGGATGGGGAGTGGGTAGGTGGGAGCAGCCCCTCAGGAAAGCTGGTGGGGTGGGCCTTCTACTCCAGCCTGTCTCTGCCTCTTCACTTTCCCTGCCTCCCGCCATTCCTGATAGGTCTGTGTGCATGCATGTGTGTTTGCGTGTGCGTGTGCGTATGTGCATGTGTGTGTTGGGTCAGTAAGTGCGTCCCTCCCACTCTGTCTCTGGGTCTGTTTCTCTGGCTTTCTGCACATCCATCTCCCTGACTCTGGGTGCTCCTGGCAGCAGAGGTGAAGAGTGGTAGATTAGCTGGTTTTCACTCTCCTTCCTTTGCATCTTTGTCTGTTTTCCAGCTTCTGTTAGTGACCTCAGCCCCCACCTCTAACCTTTTCCCTCATAAGTCGCTCATTTTTATGATTTGGCTGGGAAAAGGGTGGGCAACTGCACTAGCTAATGACCAGGGCCCCCTGGGAAAGGTGAGATTTTTGTCTTCTTTTCCCGGGTCCCCTATATACCAAGCTAATGGGCATTTCTGGTCAAGCGACCCTTTCATGCCCTCAGGAAAGAACCCCCACATCTCTACAGTCCTGTTTCCCACCCCTTGTAGCAACAGTGCTGCTGCGCAGTGACACAAATCCACATTTCCTGGCTCCTGGCTCCTGGCTCCTGCCCTCACGTGCTGCACACCCTCAGGGACTCTTGACACCTAGGACGTCCCCCTGTATGCATTCATGTGTACCTGTCTGCATTCAGTCACGCATACCCAGCACATATCATAGAACATACCCTCTTAAACACACTGGAAGTTGCACCTCCAAGCACATCTATGAGCAAGCATGTTCATTCACACTGCGGGTCTGGACAGGCTATGTGTATCTTAACACATGTGCCTGCATCCCTGAAGGAGTTGTGCTCTGGGATGGTCATTGTGGTCAAGGCCAGCTTCCTGGCACACCCAGACTTCTGAGCCGGCCTTATCCCTGGCATCTGCAGGCCTAGCACTGGGGAAAGGCCTGCCCCACGTCCTGCTCTTAACATGCCTCTTCTACCTGCACCACCCCAGGAATCTTGGACTCTCTTTTTGTATCTTATGAGAGCCTGAAGGTTGGGACTCCCCTGATTCTGGCAGGGGAGGTGGGATTCTATCTTCCCTCGACCTTGAGCAGAAAATAGCAGAATTTTTGGTGGCCCCGTCATGCCAAGCATGCTGCCCACTGCCAACTGTGCAGAAAGCTCAGGTCTGTGCTGGTGGCGACAGTCCCTGAAAGGACCCACAGGGCTTCTGCTGAGTCTGTTTCAGCCGGTGCTGGGGGCAGGAGAGGGAAGGAGGAACAGAGAGTGGAGACTCGTCCCCTGGCACTCCTCTCCTGTGCTTGGCCCCTATCAGGTTCCTGCCCCTCCCTGGGCCCCAAGCAGCTGTCCTTGGACCTGCCTTAACCCCTGGCTTGCTGCTGTCACCCTTCCTAGGGCCACACTCTTCCCTCAGTCCCTGGTTCCTTCCATCTAGTACCGCCTTCTTCTAGCCCTTGTGGCATCATGCTGGGCTGGCTGGGGCTGGAGGCATCCATGCGGGATGGCACGTCCGTGCCTTCTGAGGCCTAGGAGCTTGGGAGGCAGCAGTGGCCCTGAGCTGGCCCTGTCTATTTTCAGGGTTCAGCGGAGTCCTATACCAGCCGTCCATCGGACTCTGACGTGTCTCTGGAGGAGGACCGGGAAGCCTTAAGGAAGGAGGCAGAGCGCCAGGCATTAGCCCAGCTCGAGAAAGCCAAGGTGAGAAAGAAGAGAGGGGCTGTGCTGGCATGTTTCCCCCACCCCCAGGCCTTAGAGACAGCCTGGTCGTACCCACAGTCAAGTCTCGGCCCGGCTGCTTCCTTGCTGATATACCCTGGGCCTCAGTGTGCCTCTGTCTTGAACCTGTATAACGTGGGCTATACTACCGACCTCCGTATGCAGTATCGCAAGTGCCTAATGCTGTTTCCATACATAATTGGAACTTGAGAAGTGCTAAAAATTTCCACTTCTTTCTGGAGTCAAACTTCTTGGGCTGACTCTTATAGCTGCGTGATCTTAGGCAAGTCACTTAACCTTTCTGAACTTGACTCTCCTCATTTATTAAAATGAAGACAATAATACTTCATAGAGTTTTTGTGATGAGATAATACATGCGAAACGTGTAACATAGTACCTGGCACACTAAATGGTAGCTGCTATCATCATTATTGTTATTACTAGTATTCCTTCTGGGTGTCATTCTGGGCTCCCCCACCACTAATACATATTCCCCAATGCTCCCCTCCACTCTGAGAGGGCTGAATTCTATTTTTTGCTTTCTTTTTTTCTTTTTATTGTGAAATTTAACATATTATACATTAAAAAAAAACTATGTAAACCATTCAGTGTATCTTTTAATGAACAATTTACAAAACAAACCTCCACATAATCACCACCCCATTCAGGGAGTTGTGTATTATATTATGGTTTAACCCTCTGGTTGTCTTCCTCCCTGTGCACCTCCTGTAGACCAAGCCAGTGGCATTTGCTGTGCGGACAAATGTCGGCTACAACCCGTCTCCAGGGGATGAGGTACCTGTGCATGGAGTGGCCATCACCTTCGAGCCCAAGGACTTCCTGCACATCAAAGAGGTGGAGAGAGCACCTGGCAATCTGGAGGGAGGACAGGGTAGTGGGTGCCAGGAGAGGGGCAGTCAGATCTGTAGTGGAAAAAGACTTATGAGCCAAGCTGGGCTGAGTCTGCTGTGTGACTTTAGACAAATGTCTCCACCTCTCTGCGCCTTGGATTTTTCATTGGTAAAATGGGGTGGTCTAGGTCACATGGTTGTTGGGCAGATTTGTGATGAGGCCTGTAAGTGGAGTGGCAGTTTGCCAGGCACATGTAGGTATCAGCATTTACTTCTCTGCCATTCCAGAGCAGGGTAGACCCATGTAGGGAGGAAGGGCTCTCAGAAAAGGGATGTGCTGGGGGCGGGGTGGTCCATGGCCCAAGAGGATGCTGCTCCTGGAGTTGTCCTGAGAATTGGGGGCTGTACTCAGAGGCTGAATGAAGCCAGGGTCTGGGCTCTCTGAGGGTGCCACCCCCTGGACAGGGTAGGCAAGTCCAGGGGTGGTTTCCCGTGGAGGGTGGCAGCTGGCTTGCATATCTAT